TGTGAAAGAAAATCAAATCAAAATTGATTCGGGATAAACAAAAGGAGCTGTGTGTGTAATCAGCCTTAGTGTATGGGTATTTATGTGTGTTTGTGTACTTTTGTGAATGTGTGTGTGTGTGTGTGTGTGTGTGTGTGTGTGTGTGTGTGTGTGTGTGTGTTTGTGTGTGTGGAGAGAGAGAGAATAAAAATGCACAGGTTAAGTCGACAGTATAGACAGAAAATCGTTCAAGTGACACCCACTCCGTGCAATCGCTTCAGCTGATACCAACCAAGCAATACTTCTGAAATGGCCTTTTGACTCCAGCTGAATATGTGGAATAATTTTGGACCTATTCAGTTTGTTTTGATGAGGGCTAGGCGGCCGCTTTGATGCGGTCCTGTCCCTTCACCTTTTTTAAAGGATTGATTTGATTGCAGTCATTTCAAGCAAAACCTAACATTTAAAAAACCCCATACCATTAGCAACTTATCATAACTCCAGTACACTCGTACGTGTGTCTGGTTATTTTTTCTTTATGTGCCATAAAGTCTTTGTCAGTCAGTGCCTTTTATCATTCAGGTCAACATAAACCGTAGATTGACGAAAAGTTTCACAGGCGTCTCTTGGGTAAAAAGATAGTGGGTTTTCTTGGCAGATGTGATGTTTCTTTTTCGCGACATGTTACCGACGACACCTCCATTTTCCTTTTCTCAGTTCTATAGCAAATCTCATGTCCTGCAGCACGCGAGTGTGTCTTTTCATTATTGTGCTTTTATGGGGAGGTGGGTGAGACAGACAGACAGACAGACAGACAGACAGACAGACAGACAGGCAGACAAGCCAGGCGGCAGGCAGACAGGAAGGGGTGGATCTGGGGTCTACAGTGGGTTTTGATACATTTATTTCAATTTTTGGTTTGTCTAACACCCGCTTTCTTAACAGCATCCAGACTCGATCAACGAAATGAACAATTCTGTGTCAAATTCCAATTCATCCAAAACTCTGCAGGAAGCCGTATCAAAAACGACCTTGGGGGTTTTGAGAGGCTTTTGACTCTGTCTGTCACGATTGAGCCTAAATGTAATTGCCGTTGTTCTACGACATTTTCCCTTGCAAATCGCGCATCAAAATACAAAATATCAAGCGTGAAACAAAGTCCCACCGTATGTGAACGAATAATCACAGAGCTATATACAACTATGGATTAAAGATAACAAACAACTAGGCTTGACTTTTAAAATATGTAGGAATGTATCATCTGGCTCCTAAATTTGGATAGCCATGGGGAGAGGGTCTAATGTAAGATATCAAAACACCCTGCCCAGTAATAATAATATGAATTCAGGGAACTTATCAATACCGTGAGATTAGCTGAATCTGGACAGTCGCTTAACGTCAATTTCCGACAGGACCAAGCCAAGAGAAGGATGAGCCAAGATACAGAGAGTGTATATTATTTATGTTTGGATGTGTGGGATAGAGTGAGTTTCTCAAAGTGCTAGTCTGCTTATCTTCTAATGTCACTGTAGTCTGTCGTTAAAACTGGATGCCATCATCAACCCGCACTCTTTTCTCTGACAGTCCGCGTTGTCAATGTTGTCCTCCTATGCGTATAGTTGTCACTGTGTTTGCGCACTTACGCTTAATCAGACTCGCCTCCGTCCATCAGCCGCGCGTCACGCAAAGAGTCAAGTTAACGGGTGTCGAGGGGAGAGATAACACATGATAACACGGACCCCTGGTGTGGAGAAACTGTCTAATAAGGTGTCGACATAACTAAGGCGGGAATAGGTGGATTACGACAGTGCCTCTGCCTCTTTTTGTAAGGGACATTTGAGTTTAATCGGAGTACATAGTACTGACAGGAAACACTGTTTTCCAAATGGTTGCTATTTCTTGCGTTATAAATTCCCTGTGGGCTGGAATTTACCAGTAGATATCGCTGTTTTGGAGACTAATTTGTGTGTGCTGAGCTTTTCATTTCTTTGATGTCGTTTTCTGCGTCGCTAAAGGTAGCTGAGGGGAGATCTTAACCTAATCTTAGTGTGAATTCTCTTTATGAGACAGTTTTATTTCAACCATTAGGCTTCATGCGGGTTCCTTATTTTTCACTTTGTTGACTTCAGTTGGCATCAGTCTGAGAAACGGGCTTCTCCAACAGCATAAAACCATTCTCTCTCTCTCTCTCTCTCTCTCTCTCTCTCTCTCTCTCTCTCTCTCTCTCATCCCACTCGCTATAATTGGCTCTTTGCGTGGATTTCTAAGAAATAGATTAAGACTATTTGTGAGATGTCCAAACGTTCATAGTGAAAACTTGTTCCTGCCTAAAGCATTCCGTTTAAGATTTAGTATATTCTCCGGAAACTGTCTAGACATCAATAAGTTGAAAACAGCACTTTTTCTCCTCCGAGAAAGGAAGAACTTACCGGCTGTTTGTTCTTGCAAGTAACCTCATTAGGTTGTTAAGTTTCGCCACTGATAGGCCTTATTTCTTTCTGTTCTCTCTGTTGTTTCTGTCTGTCTGTCTATCCGTTATCGTGTCTATGTATTTATCTTCACTCAAACAATAGTAAAATCCACGTGTTTTATCCTTTTTATTTTCTGTCTCCCCAGAGTAGCACAGATCACAGACTAGCAAAATGTCTCAAGTGGGCGTGTTCTCGAGACCCGCCAGTCAGATGAAAGTGGGCGTGTCTCTTCCAGAGATAAAGCATCCCTTAGCGCAGATGGGTAATCCGGGCACTATGGATGTTCGAGGTGTGTCCAGAGCTAGCAACGGAAGGCCTTTCTCCAACCCTCCCATGTCCGGCAGACCGATGGCTGCTGAGGGAAACATGGCCCGGAAGAGCTTTAGGTACATTTAATGTTGTCTAGCAGAATAATTGTCAGGCTATGTGACTGTACAAAGTCTGAACAATTCTTTTTCAGTGTACTAATAACTACTTTCAATTCCTCGAAATCTGCATTTCTGTCTCAGATGTAATTTGGTTGTTCATTTAGAATTTTTCCAAGTTTCATGTTCTGTTAAATAAGACGTCCAGACTACCTCTTTGAATGCAATTAATCCTTTCCTGTACATAGAATCCAGCCTTTGCCTGGAGTTGTTCACTAATGTCTTGATTCCATCTTCTTTCGATGACCTACATCAAGTTTTTCTTGAAATTTTTCTTCGAAAATGTACTTTGGGTTGCAGTTTTTGCATTTTTATGCTACATATTTATTTCTATTTGTCGTTCCGATTGTTTCAAGGAACCAGATTACCTTTAGTTTTAGTTCTTTCTGACTTCAGTTATTTTTTCTCTTTTGAGTCATTGGCACTCACAGTTGGCAACGGAAGTAAGAGGTTTTACCGCGTTCTGATTCATAATATGGTATATGGAATGCTATAGCTTCTATCTCGAATTCTTAAATAAAACATTTTCTTCACATTAACATAATTCTTATGACAGTCAATCATTTTCTTTCGCTTTATTCAACGTCAGCGTGTTTAATCTCAACTTGTTCACATCAGTTTTTAAAAAAGTATAATATCCTTTTGAACCTCATTTAGTGAAATCGTCTCTTGAGTTTAATAATACTATAAAAAACAACGTATCTGTTTGTTTGTCTCGGTTGTTATACCAGTTATATCTACGGAATTATTTCACAAAAGACCGGAAAACTTTATCTCTATGACTTATCTTATGGGAATGCACCCCCTTTATTAGAATATGACATAAATATTGCAAGTAAATCTTTATTATGAGAAAGACACTTTTCTCGTTGTCTGACTTCCCAAATGGATGGGAATGGGCTCTGAGGGGAAGACCAAACAGGCCTATTGAACACCAGAAGGAAGTACAGCCACTTTATTGATGAAACTACTAACGTATCACCGTTGTTAACATGTACACATGTCATTTACATGTAAACCTATTTTTGTCTTTCTTCCCTCTTCTTGACTGAAACCCATGACCCATCTACTTCTCCTTCCAACGAAATGTCGTGCCTAGTACAGAGACATACATAAAACTACAATTAAACAGGCCTCTCCGTTCGCCCAGTTGGCACCATTCTGGACCCCTATGGTTCGAATCCCCGGCTGGGCGTTCTTTAAATAACTCTGGTCATTTAGAGGAGTTTTCAAACCTCTGAAATCATGTAGTCTGGTACCATCAGATGTGGACGTTAAATTCGAATTAATTTCCTCTTAGACCTAGATAGATAGATAGATAGATAGATAGATAGATAGATAGATAGATAGATAGATAGGGGAATCGAGCAGAGGCTATCCGCTCTGTTGTCCAGCATGATACCATCTGAGCAAATTGAGCGTCCTGCATAACTGTGGTTTTGCGTAATTTTTCATGATAAACCCAGACTCTCATTTACAATCAAAATTAAAACTCAGCTACCACCTTTGTCTGCGGGTGTTTGCTGGGAGCCACTGGTAGATACTACTTCTTTTACTCTGCTTCTGTCGTTCCTGTCTGTGTCTTACTTTTTCCCCGCATTAGGTGACCACTGTTGTGTCCATGTATTTTTCTTAAAACTCCAACAAACTCCTGTGTCCTCAGCGCAACGGGCCGTGAAAGCAAGGCAAGTGCCCGCAACAAGGAGAACATGATGGGGAACCCCATCCCTATAGAGAGCATCCCAGAGGGTGTGGAAGTGACGTATGGTGACCCTGCAGCCACCAGACTGCCTGTATTCGGTGAGTTGATCACTCCGTCACTTTGTCTTCGTGTGCTGTCTGTCTGTATGTGTCTAGTTTTTTCTCTTTCTGCATGTTTACCAAGGTGCGCATAGGATGATCTGTGCACTGTTCCGGTCTGATGTCAATCTGCCATCTATCTGTCTGTTATCTATATAAAAATAAAATAAATTCCATTTTACTCATCCTCTTGGGAAAATGTGGGTAACATTGCGTACACGCAAACATTGATACATAAACACCATGCTTCTCACACACTTAAACAAGTATCAAAGTTACCACATACGCCATATCACACCAATACCGAGTTTAGGAACACATCATT